TATATAAGACCTACGGTTTTAACGCCGGTTCCAAATGACCTCTTAGAAGAGGTTTTCTTTACAGAGATATTCTTAGTGATTTGTCATTGCATCTTCTAAGAATCGCAATCGCTTCCAAATCGATTAAAACCGATATTGTTCTGAGTGGATTTGAACTGGTCTCTTTGGCACAGGAAGTTCTTCGCGTCACGATCGCCACGTATCATTCAAAACTACACGAGAAATAATTTAGAACTCATAGAACGATAATAGGCGAGTTCCCACGACCTTTTATGAAATAGAAATTATTCCAATATTGAAAAGCAACTTTTGTGACCAAAACTCTTTCTAAAACCTATACAGAATTACAGATCTATTAAAATCCTACAAGAATCTAGTATGTATAAACTTTTGCAGGACAAAATGAGACGCTGTGTGAATCTGACATTTCAGTTTGTACTAAAGATCGATATTTTTCGCTTTAAGACCGGAACTATTTGTTTAATATATTTAGAACTACAGAACTATTGATAAAGCCAGAACTTTCAATAATTAATAAGTTTCCACGAAATGATATGCCAATTTCATACATACACAATGTTAGAATATTTCAGAACTTATAAAGAATTCTAGAAAAGGTATATAGACTTTCTCAGCAATTTTGAAGTGTTCCAATTTGTATAAAAAAAGTTTGATAAATTTTTTGAAAGATTAACAAATTATACAGAAGTTTAAAAAAAATTATAAAAAGTTATACGAAGGATTCTAAGAAAAATTTTCACTAGGAAAATCAAGAAAATCGTAACGTTCCACAAATTTCTATCATCATATTTCGACCTTACGCTTCGATGACGTAAGGATTCTATATAAAAGAATGATCAAATAAGTTGAACGTCTTAATTGCCGATTCATTTGTACAAAGATCTCAGCAAATATCTTAGCAATACGTCAATTTGATCATACAACAAGATGAAGATCACCGAATAGAGTAGTTCTCCTTTTTATGCGCTAAAGGAATGCATGCTCGACGACGAGGTATTGCACGAAGCATTAAGAAAATAAGGAACCACAAACATTCCGACGAACATCGGTTAAGGTCTTGCTTCCGTCCCACATCGACGGCAGGACGAAATCGAGAAGGGACGCCTGCACACACACACACACCGCGCGCCCGTATTTTTGTTTGTACATTAAAAATCGTATACGTTCGTAGTGATACATCGACAATTGCCTATCTGTTATTCCATATTTTATCGTTTAGGGTTTACCTAGGTCTACCGTAAATTCGTAACTAGAATAGTCGGACTTATTTTTCGCAGCCGCTCGCAATCTACCACCGGTTGCCGCTCTGGAGTTATCTTGGCGCGGACCGATGTCGCCGTCGGGAAAAAAAGAATGAACGGCCACCCCGAAATATATCACAATGTCCATGTATACTCACGTTCGAATCGTAATGTTGATGTCATCATACTTATTACATTATTATTGTTATTATTAATATTATTATTATTATTATTATTATCGTTGTATAATAATTATTATTACTATAATTATTGTTATTATTATTATTGTTATTATTGTTATTAGACGTATACTTTATTTACAAAACTTACGTTTCGATGACAACAACGGAACAATGTATATACTTATAGCGTGCCATAAAATTCCTCCAGGAATGTAATACACGAATGTATACGCTAACCTGTTATTCATCGTCGGAACGTTTACCACCAAGAGAAACGCGACGAATGATGTGGCCTTACTATCTCTCGTAAAAAAGAACTACTAGTGCAGTGATAACACTACTATATTTCAGTAGTGTTTTTACTGCACTATTAGTTCTTTTTTACTAGGGATATGTCGAACTTAATATTAAAAGAAGTGAGAGAAGATCTCGTTTGACGCAACCTCCGTAAAAGAAATTATTATTATATTTATTATCTCTCTTACGACAAACGTCCGCCTCTGCACACAAGATCATGTACGATCTCCGTACGAAACGTAAATTCGACACAATTGAGAAAGACTAGCTTTTCGTTGCGCGTATTAATATACATAAATAGCCTTGGCCATAAGTATAAGACACAAATTGACGTGAAGTTCTATATCTAACAAAAAATAAATTATAAAACAGTTTTATGTTGAAAAATAGTATATAATGATATATACAATATAATAATTATATATATAATAACACATATAATATATAATACTTATATATTATATTTTATATTATTATACATATTATTATAAATATATTAATAATTTTATAATAATTTTAATATTTAATTAGTTTTCCTTTGGGTTTTATTTCTGCTTTTTTCAAGGAAATGCAATAAATTGAGAATGCTTTATGTTTATATGACCAAGGCTACATCACTTTGTTCCGCAACAGAATCATTGAGTCGCTTTGTCGTCATCTTATCTAGAATGAATTTTGTAACCACGAGTTTATTTTCTACGAGTTTTAATCGTTTTAAACGCGATGCACATCGTAAAAAGTATTCGGCATTTATAAGCTCATTTTAAAAGCAATTCACGTTACTCGTCACAAAGGAAATAGAAAAAGTTATTCTTCCAAACAGACATTCTTTCTCGATTGTTTTAGCGTGGACAAACACGCGACGCAAGGATCCTATCGCGACTCATGGAAACCGGTTTTTCGGGCGCAAACTTAAAACTCTGTCGTTCGAACAAAAACGTAAACGTCAAACTAAAATTGAATTTAAAAAGAAAAATACCGTTTTCATGAAGCAAGAAACCACGAAATCCCCGCGTGCACAGTCTGAATTAGAGGCGCAATCGCGACGCGTCGCAGGTCGAAGACGGCCCGCGAGCAAGAGCAGCAGGTCTCGACGGCTCCGTCGCGACACGAGTAATGGTAATTGCGGTAATAATACAATAATAATATACCCTATCACGTCAATATCTTTTACTATATTTACACAATGCCGTGTATATGTAATACTAAGATAACTTGTCGTATACATCTCATTGCACCTCGCCACCGCTTTCCGCCCCTTTGACCTCTCTACGACTCGAAAATACAATGTTCATTCTTTTCCTGCATTTCACCGTCGAAGCGGGAAGCGTCCACCCTTTCCTCCCCCCCCCCCTGCCGCCCCTCTGCCTTCGTGGAAGGAAGAAATAGGTGTAAATAAAAATTACGTGGCGGAAACCCACGCCCTAATCAGTTTGTCACACTCATCGGAACGCAGTTAAATAATTTACAATTAGCGAGGCCTTAATCTCATCGACGTTTCTTTAGCACGTGCGCCAGACACTCAAAATGCCTCTAACGAGGGCAAAACGAGCGGAGTTTAACGACTGCATTTTAGCCATGGCAAATTGTCCCTTTCCCCTTCCTCCCGTGCAATCGCGGCAATTAAATTGAATTGTTTCAGCGATTTCATTCGGAAGAAAGTAAATTAACGCGTGTACAGTTACATGGAGCTAATCGAACGTTCGCGACGCGGGCGTAATCATATTAATATATGCGTGTACGAAATAACCATCCCCCTCCCCCGATTTCTTCTTATTAGCGCACAGCGCCAACCCAAGGGCTCGTTCGCGGAGCTGGTTTGTATTAGTTTACAGCAATTTTCTTTCTTTAATAAGACTCTTCGCGTGTCACGAAATTCGTTAATCCATACAAATCACAATTCGCGTTCCTTCCTTTATCGACAGCTCGGTGTGATTACTAGGACAGATCATTCCATCGCATCGTAAAAGCAGCTCCCCCTCCCCCCACACTATGACGGATCATATTTTAATCATTGACATTCGGAAATATACTCGGAAATAGACTCATGATAATTGCAGCGGATTTATAGTGCTCGAATATTATAATGAAAACCGGTTTCTACGAAAAACATTCAGTCATTGCCGTTATTAAATATTTGGAGCTGTCATGATTAGGATAAATTTTTAAACGATACCGAGAAAAATCCATTTTGGTTTTACTGAATAATTCCTCCTCGACTGTTGCGAAGCATTGAAAATCCATTTAGAAATGAAAACGTTAGTTCCTCGCGAATCGTTTGGAGATAGAAAAAAAACCCGCTAACATCAATGATTTACGCAGCTAAAAGATTTAATGCCAATGTGTGATTCAATTTCCTTCGCAAAATATCAAACAACGCTTTACGCCTGTTGTCATTTAAGACGTATATTTGACTAGACACTATACGTTGGAAATATTTACCCGTTACACTCCCAATTAGGAAATCTCGAGCGTGCAATTTTAATTGCTACTCCGTCATATGTATACATCAATCCTCTTTACATTTATAGCATCAAGTCGATGGTTGGCCCGATGGTTATAAGCATCAGCAGGACACACATTCGCGGAAACTCGTAGTCTACGTTAATACATCGCATGTGTCACAATGGTCCTGGGAAGGCTATGATGATGAGAATCTATATTGCGCAAATTGTCCCTGTCGATAATGCCAGCAATTTCGATCCTCTACCCTGATTTTACCCTCAGCGCTAATTTATAGAAGAGTACTCCTTCCGTAGATTCCCCATACAATTCTGGTATCTGTTTCTCCCGGTAGGACAAATTCATGAAAAAAATAATAAAAATATAGCGCGCTGCCGTTGCATTTATTTCGTAAAACCGTTACCGTTCCATGAATTAAATTTCTATCAGTCAAAACAGTCCGAAATTATCTAACCATTCTAATTCCGTCATTATTCGCAATGCTTTATTGACTTTATGTTAAATTCAAAAGAGTGAACGAGTTCGGACCTCCATCAAATTTAGAATGATCGTTCTGATACCGTCGATCTTGACCTCGCCGCACTATCTTGACGTTAAATTTACGACAAGCCAACAAGATAAAATCTCTTCGCCCGCGCGCCCCCGCTCCTTCGGCGGAATCAGTCGCGGACACGCGGTCTTTATCTTACGATTGCCGTTTGCCAGAACAGAGAGGAGTACTCGTTCCATGGATTATGGTAAGCTTCTACCGGCCGGCAGTTTTTCCTCCGTGGGACCGAACGTCCGAAGAGACGGTTCAGACGACGCCTTGGTAAACAGAACTGTACTCCATTTCGTGGGTGTACTGAGGCGGTCCTGGCGGCGGTTGCGGGCTGTACTGTTGCGAGGCGTCCGAGGCGCGACGCCTGAGCGCCGCGATGCTGTGGGCGCCTCTCCAGTCCGAGGCCTCGTTCGTAGTCACGTCGGCGCCCACGCAAGAGACGCCGCCGCCCCCGGCGCCGCCGCTGCCGCTGCCGCCGGTACCGGAAGTCGTGCCCGGTGAGCCCTGGCCGCAGTTCAGGTTCGAACCCATCCCGGCCTGACCGCCGCCTACCGGTGGCGAGCCTCGGGACGCCGACACATGAACACCACCTGCGGAACAGAAAGAGCATCGGATAAACGTATATTTTCATGGAACATTCGGTTATTTATATCGGTGCGAATTTATCAACGATTCCTAGAACACTATTGATATTGAGTGATATAATATTACTACGTTACGTTAGAGGAAATAGGCCACTCTTAATTAACGTAACACAAGTTATTTTCATCACATATTTTACGCTTTTATTAACAAAATATTTATAATATAAACCTTTATAAACACAAATAATCTAATTGTTAACTTATAAAAGAAAAGAAATTTGCACATTAAATTCTTGAATAAATTTACAGCGAGCCAACTAGATAAAATCGTGAAATAATATATGTAGTCTAATGTCTCCTCGTAACAATGTAGCATATACAGTAGAAAACATTTGCATATACAGTAGAAAACATTTTGAACTTGTGTTAAGTAATGTATTATACAATTCAAAGTTTCAAAATAATTAAAAAATTATTACAAATTATTCTAAATCAAATTTAAAAATAATAAAAAAAATTTAGCGTGTTTACCATTTAGAGAAAAGTTATTTCAAAAAGAAATAGTATTTTTTTATCTGTGCCCTAAAAAAAATATATGGAAATGTAAAATAATAACAAAGATGTATGGAAATGTAATAACAAAAACCTCAATTTTTTATAAGTAATTTAAGTATTCAAGATGATTAATGTAAAATTTCATTGCGATGCAGAGACGAGAGATTAGTTGTTTTGTAAATAAATACAATATTTATTTGTTTTAAATATTTGTAACTAATCTGTGAATCACAATAAACTTTGTATAAATTATTTTGATTATTTAAAACACTTATACAAAAAATTTGAGATTTTTATTATTTTTTAAATTTTAGTTTATATTAATAAAAATAATAACAAATAAACTATAAAAGGGTGTTCAATAAAAACAGAATGTTATAAACACAATTTCATATATGTATATATATATATATATATATATATATATAGACTTTATTTAATGTATAAATATTAATACATTTATAAAAATAGGTATAATACATTTTTAAAAACGGATCATTCAAATGTTTGTTAAAATTTTGTGGAATTTTTAACATACTCAGAATGTTAATTTAATATAATGTGATAATGTTATTTAAATATTTGATTTTAAATTAATATTTAACATTTCTTAAAGTGTTAAAGTAACACAATTTATAAGTAAATAATTAAATAACAAAAATAAAAATAGTTTTGAAACGTAAATTTTAAAATAAATGAATTAAAAGTGAAAGTGTGTATATTAATTTGACATATTATGTGTTGACGTATTATATGTTAATTTTACTAAAAAAATATTCACAATTTATTTTTAAATTGTGTCAAAGTAATACATTTTTTGTATTAATTTTTACATAATGTTTGTGTTACTTTCTAACATATTTATCTGTTAAACTAAGAAATAAATTTGGATAGACCGTTTGAAAATGTGTTAAAAATACAAATTTTTCTACTGTGTACAATTAGATATTTTACTTTTCACGTCAAACTAACGTATTGTAAGTATTGTAGGATTAAATTATGTTGTTTAAAACTCTCAGTTTATCAAGTTCTAACTATATCCTCCGTAACTCCGTAAGTTTCTTGACAGTTTGTGCAACGATTTCCGAGTGATAAATATTTTTCTATAAATAGCAAATAACATTAGATAAATATTTATTGTGTTACAGTCAATCACGAATCCACTACCGCGGAGGAGGCAGCGCATCCCCGAGATGAGGACCTCAGGTAGAAGAGAGGGCAATTTACAGGTGCGGCACCACACAGGTGCAGGAGCGAAACGTTTCGTTTCGTTTCTCTCCGCGGAAGACATTAATACGGTAGGCTGACAAAAGCGCGTGGGGTGCGCTACCGGCCGTCGTAAAGTCGTTTTCCGCCTTCTCGCGCGCCACGCCGGTGGGCTCGGGAGAGGCAACGCGGGAAAAGGGGCTCCTTTTTTTATGGCGGTTGCTGCGCCGGGCAGCACAAATTTGCAGAGGACTATGGCGGCGGCCGCTTTTGAAAAGCCATTCGAAAGAATGGACGTCTAATGGCGACCGATGTACGTGATTTTATGACTATTGTCGGCCGACTCAGTCGGATCCGGTGTGCAGCTCGAAGAGCGTATATCCTACTGACGATTCACCGCGCACAATCAATGAGATTTGATTCTGTGGATACCACGAAACGAACGGCCGAAAGCCGAAGGTAAATGAAATTAAACGTGTACTAAACGTGTAATTTGGCACGTGTATTTCTACTTTTGAGAATGAGTATAACGGAGATCCAAGATTGAGAAATAACTCGTTATTTGTAACGAAATTACAGTTACTTTTTTCACTAGCTGTAACTTAACTTCGTTACTTTCTTTCCATGTGTAATTGTAACTTAACTTATTAGTTAGATTTATTTAAGTAACTAGTAACTTATTTAATAGTTACTAGTTACTTAAAAAATTACAGTTACTTTATATATATCAAATCGTTACTTTCGTGGATGAAAATTATGCAAGACTTTCGTTCAATCACATAATCGTGATGTTGATTGTAACTATGCGAAATATTTAAATGCTCATATTTAAATACGCGCATTATTTTTCTTTTTTCAATAAAATTATATAATATGTAAATTGCAACCAGTCTTTTTTTATAATGCTAATGTTGTTTTTTTAAAAGTAACTGAAAAGTAACGATTCATAACTTTTTGAGTAACTGTAATATGTTACTTTTCAGAATCGGTAACTTGTAACGGTAACTATGGTTACTTTTTGAGAGACAAAAATTGTAACTGTAACTAGTTACTTTTACAAAGTAACTTTCCCAATCCTGCGAAGATTATAGACGCGTATCTCGCTGTATCTCGCGGAAAGTTGAACTGTTGCACGCTCGACGAGTCTCAGCAAACACAGATTATAACTACAATATTGCAGCAACATTGGAATATTTCTGCAATATAGCCGGAATATTACAATGTTGCTGCAACATTACAGTTTTAAACTGTGTTTGCGGTGATACAAAAAGCTGCGTTACCTTACTCGAGAACAAAAATCAAGGAACATTCCACCAGTCGCGATTTTTATTTTCGAGTAAGGTACGTAACAAGGCTTTTTGTGCCACCGCACGCGCGGTAGCGCGAGTTGAAAATCGAGCGTTTCGAAACACGATAATTTACGTATTACCGAGGTTTGTTTGCGCCAGTCTGGCGTGGCTCGCCGCGAGAGAGAGAGAGAGAGAGAGAGAGAGGCCAAATGGAACTTCCCCCGATCGACTAGGAACCGCGCGCCACGCCGTTGAGTTGGGTTACGTGCTAATCATCATCAGTAACCGAAAAATAACGCTCTAGTCTAAAAGCTATTTGCTCTAAGTATTATCCGCGCGGATAAAAGCGCGTATGGCCTGCAAGCCGAGGCTACAGACGGGTTCACTTTAAGGCCGCGTTCGCGCGCGCACCGGGGAGAACGCCAATTTTTCTCCCTCCTCGTCCGAGTGACCGCTACCGGGCGATAACGCTCGGTAATTGGCACCGTATAAGCGTTACGCGTGCATATACGCGCGTACCAATGCACGACCGTATATACGGTCCGGCTTGCGAAACTGTGCTACGCCGGATTTTTATCGTTAAGGATCCGCGGAGAAAGTCCGACGTGCAACGTTATATTTTCGCGATTTTTGCATCAAACGAATTAATACCGTCAAATGAATTATAATCGATAATTAATACGTCCGATACAGTTTTAAGAGAGAAATTTCAGTTCAGTAACGCAATTACCGCTGGTAAATTTGGATATTTGATATCAATTTCAATATCTCGCCTTTTTCCTAACGCATGAATGAGACCTCGTATTTGTTGAAAGATATAAGTCCGTGAATAAAATTCATATTATTGTATCGATAGATCCATCTTCAGGGTTGATGACCCGCCGATCAGTGTCGTAACCGAATACGAATGATTCTATTTAAACCAATCATGCATTTCGTGAAAACGGCATTTACTTACAACGTCTTTCCTCACACGCGATTTATTGCTGAAAAATAAAAAAAAGTAAAAAATAGGTAAAAAAAGAAAAATATTCCGTGACACAAGACGATGAGACTCCTTTTTTTTATTATCGGTTATCTTATTATCCATATCGCGCGCGAATTCATTATTCCGTACGGTTCACGAGCGCTGAAATCCGATTTATCTGAGAAAGATTGCCAGATTATTCCAAGCAACGATTTGCGCTTTTAATCCTACGTAGACATTCCGAGTTTCAACGTGCAATAAGTAACACTTTTATATCAACAAACGTAGATCTTATTTTACATTTAACAGCGTCACGTCGCGAAATTATATAACAATAACAGTCTGCCGTCTTGGAGTTTTCAGGTTCTTAAATAACGTATCAAAATTCGTTCTAACGTCGCGTGTTTCTTCACAAAGGGGCCCTTTGAATGAAATCTCGTTTTCACACCGTAACATCTGTGATGTCTCGGTATGGAAGTTACAGTCGCGAGGTGCGCTGAATAGCAATTTCCGTGAAAGAAGAAATTTCACACGCGATTTATCCCCTTGAGTATAATATCTTCGAGGATACAAGGTCCCCCCCGGGTGAGGTGGAGCGTAACTTCAACCAAGACAGGTTGCATCGAGATGTTATGGTAAACATACAGCGAAAGATCTCGCACCTAGGTGCGAGATCGGGCCTCGGAGTTTTGCCTGCGTAAACAGACACAGAGAAGGAGGAACGCGCGGGGGTTTATGTTTCTGTCTCAAATTCCTTACGTGCAGGCGCATAACCCCCCTTCCCCCTCTTCCCCCCTCCCTCTGCCCCGTTCGAGCCTTAATGCACCGTAACGTTTAACGACTTCGTCAAAGAGACTTCCAATGGCGTGTACGTCTGTTTGCACGTCGTCTTTTAGAGGGCCACGGTACCAAAAGTTTGGCAAGACGATTATCGGTACACGTATAAGCGGCCGGGTTGACGGGAACGTTAAGATTCTTCTGGGTGTGTCTGTGTTCTCGCGTTTTCTCGCACATGCCCGCCGACTCCAGCCGACGGTCCACGCTACTTGAATAAGCAACGATGAAAAACGTCGGAACACCGCGCGAAACGTTACGTCCGCTCAGAGGTTGTCCACGGGAGTAGCAAAGTGTGATCGTAAAACGCTTTTCACGTTTTCTCGACAATCTCTCTTTGCGCGCGTATTCTGAAATTTATTTTTGAGAGGCCGTAAACGGCGTTGCAGGATACTGAGGATACAGTAGGTACCGTTGCAATGTTAAAATAACAACAATTTATAATTAAGCGAACAAGTAACATAAAAATAATGTTTTAAAATATAAATTCTAATCTAAAGTAAATAAATAAAAAACGAATGTTAATTTAATATAATAATATGTTAATTTTTTACTAAAAAAGTGTTTTTTTGTAATTTGTTCCCCACACACCACACACACACACACACACACACACACAAATTGTGTCAAAATATTACATTTTTTTATGTTAATTTTTACGTTTTACTTTCCTATATGTTCATCTTTTGTTAAATTAACAAAAAAATTTGGGTTTAGAGACATAAAATGCATTTATTAATTTAACATAAATTTTCCAACTGTTGGAAAATGTTTTGTTAAATTTAACACATTTCACATGTCTCACTCAAATTTTTGTGTCAATTTAACCTAAAATGAATAATGTTAGAAAGTAACAGAAATATTATGTAAAAATTAACACGAAAAATGTAACACTTTAATACAATTTGGAAACAAATTGTGAAAACATTATTCTTCAGTAAAATTACCAAATATATTTATCTTTTATTCATTTATCTTGGAATTTACGGTTTAAAACTACTTTATTTTTATGTTATTTATTCACTTATTCATAAATAATTGTTATATTAACGTTAAGAAATGTTAAATATTAATTTAACCCAAAATATTCAAATTAACATAATGACATTATGTTAAAATGAATACAAGAATACTTTAAAGATTCAACAAATAAAAATTTAACAAATATTTAGACCGTTTTTAAGATAGATATAAAATATTTCTTATCTGTGTGCGATGTCAATTCTTTTTCCAATAGTTACAATAAGTGGAAGTGATAGTTTGTTAAATTATATTTTTGGGTATCTGCTCCAACTTGTACTTTTTGCTAGTACTCGCGGCAACTTACTGATCGAATTGAGTCCGTAATTGGTATGGTAGACAGATTGCGACGGGCTGTTGATCGGCAGTCCGGAATTGCCGAGGCTAAGGCTAGAGCCTAAACTTCCCGTGCCCTGTTGACTGAGCTGCCCGAAGCCGCTCATCGTCATGCCGCTTTGCAATTGTCCGAGACCTACGGAGCAGACGAGCACAATTAAATATCACGAGTAAGGAAAGGGGAGAGCAGGAGAGAGGGGGACAATATAATGCAAAGGTTACGTGACGTGAGGGGCTTCCCGCAAAGAAATGTGGAAGGATCGGTTGGTTATCGGTGTCATTGTCGGTGCAACCGTCGGTGAACAACCGTGGGTACCGATAATACGCAAGTAAGTAATTTCAGCTGTCTCAGCCAGTGGACGGGCAAAATTAAATTAGGAGGCGAGCATCGTCGCGATTTCGTCTACGAGAAATGGTGTTTCCTTCTCATGTTGCTTCTTCTCGCGCTAGCGCGTGAACGAGATGCTAATCATATCGCGCGTTAAATGGCATGAATCGTGTGCAATTTGCATAGACGCGGATAATACGCTCCGATCATAAATCGCGGATAAAAGTGCCTACGAATTTGTGAACTTCTTCGTTCTCTAGTTACACTTGTGCAGTTCGATGCGTCATCTTTTAAAGTAAAACAAATTTTATAAAGCACACGCGCGCGCGTATATAAAAAACATAAAAATAATATAAAAAAGTACATTTGTAAATTAAATAGATTTAAAATCTATAAATTTAGATTGAATTATTAAAATATTGTATACATTAAATTATGTAAAATTTTATAACTAACGAATTTTAGATAACATTTCGTCGTTAACACTTTGAGAAATATTTAAAGTCACTGGTTTCATTGATTTGCACTGACGTGAAAAAGTAAAATTTCTTGACGCTTGAACATAATAATTTATTTAAGTTAACATTCAAATATTCATATCTCTCTCAAAACTACTTGATTTACATAAATGAAAGAGATATGGCAAAAGTGTGAGTATCGATTTTACAAGATCTCTTTCTCTTCTCAGTTTTTTATATTTTATATCAAAATAGATTGTGTAAGTATTTCGTAAGACAGCGGATCAATTCAAGATGTCTACTTAGAAAATTAATGAAGTATAATAGTAAGAAAGATAAGTAAGCAGACTGAACTATTATACTTTCTTTCCATATTAGCGAATCTGATGTTTATGTACCGCATTATTTATAATTTTGGACTTATAAAACAAAACAACAATAAATTTGAAAAAACGATATTATAAAAGATTATCGATTATACGTAAATACATAAATTATTTAACTCTAATATAGACAAATATTTTAAATATTTATACAAGTCACAATATGTATTGACATTGCAGCATATATCGCATATGCATTATGGAATACCATCGATACTCTATCAGTGATCCGGTGTGACATATGAAATTGATAGGATGTTACGGAAATAACTGTCGGCGAAGACAGTTTTTTAAAGGATTTCAGGAAATTCTAAGTCTCGTTTTTAAACATGAACGCATGATGACAAATATCGAGTCCTTGTGAGTAATAATACAGACGATCGAAAGAGCGTTTCCTGTCCCGGCCAACGTGCAACGTAAGCATATGGATAATTTCTTTCGTTTTTTTTTACCTTGCATTTCTTGGTTACGGTTAGTGATAAAAGCTATTGATATCTGACCTGTTCCCATTCCCCATCTGTCCGCAGGAGTATGAAACATTCCGGTGCACAACTCGGAGGTCATCGGTCCGAAGGGTGGCAGGCCGTGCGATGGTAGCAGCGATCCAGAGGACCGGAACACGTTGGTCGTCTTCTTGCGCTTCTTCCACTTCGCTCGTCGGTTTTGAAACCATACCTGCGGGCACAGGGAGTCATTATATTGCAGTTCGATGGAAGAGGTGCAAAATTCTTTTAACTCTAAGAAAAAATATTATAGATCTTATATTTCTTGTTACATTTATTTACAAATAATGTTTCGAAGTAACATTTCTTTTACATTTTCATCGATAATATTCTTTATATTCCTTATATTTTATATATTTTATTTTTTTAATTATTTTTTTTGTAATTTGAAGTTCTAATACATGTATTTTTGGGCACCAAGAACTCGGAACTCTCATTAGCCTATCTTACTCTGTATTTAAGTTTTAAATTCGAGAATTCTCTATTATAATTATGTTATATTTTTATTAAACTAATTAGAAATTAATAGGTTTCATTCGTCAATGAGTATAAGAAAGTCGTTGAGTCAATCATAATATTATCCTTTCTGCCATTTTTTGACGTAATCGAGGATCGCATATTCCGACAATTCCTTTGCCCGCCCTCTTCCTCGCGCGATAACATTTTTTTCCTCAATAGGACGCAACCAGATCCAACCATTGCGACGGTAAGATGTCCCTCGGTGTTACGACAATATCTTCGACCCCACCGCGGGTAGCTATTAGCCGACGTTATGAGCTGTTGATTCTGGCCACGTAGTGGCCCCCTAAGCTGCCGGGGTCCCGGGGACTTGATTTATTGATATCGCATGCAAAGCCCGCCTCTGTGTTCTCCGATATACCTACCCTCGCCCTATCTCGCCACCACCACCACCACCACCAACGCCACCAGCACCAACGCACCACTACTACTCTACCAGTTTCTCTCTCTCTCTCTCTCTCTCTCTCTCTCTCTCTCTCTCTCTCGCTTCTACCCTTCTCTGCAGACTATAGTCCCTTTTCTGGCACGGTGGCTCGCACTATAGCCATCTCATATGTGCCCATAAATTAGTACTTTAGCATTAGAGCGCGGGATGCGCGCTTGCGCCATCGTACGCATCCGTACGGTACGACTACACGCGCACGGCGAGCGAGACACACACGGAGACGAACGGCGCAGCGAAGACTGAGAGGGTTGGCGGTGCGGTGGTGCGAGGGGTAGGAACACCCTACGCTAACATACGAGGATTATACGAATCTAATTGGATATATGGGATTTACACGCTCCAGTATACACCTCAGGTATTGCAGCGAAGCGATCGTTGCATTCTTACGCGTTCAAAGGTCTGTTAATATCTGGCACAAGATTTTGGAATCGGATGATACGATTCATGGACGTCCGCGTCGGTATCTTTAATTCGTCGCACGAGTTGTCACACGAAAACTTATCAGTTTTAATAAAACTCATTAATTTTGCATATATTGTGTAATTTCATGGTTGTTGACGTCTTTATTAGTGAAGCGATTACTATTATTTTTTAATTTTTATCGGATTATGATTTATGCATGTGATGTAACAATTCAATTTTATGTGAAAATTTAGCAATTACGATGACTTCAAGTATAACTTAACGTGTGAAATCTGTTTATTTATATTGAATTCCTTCTTATATATACTGACTTGTCTTTCTTAATTTTTAATTGAACGCGAACAATGATGTCATTTTTGGCTAAATTAACGTTTATTGTCCCGTGATATTTGTCGGAGGCTCGTAACAGCTGGCGGGTCTCTTGACTCTCAAGGATGGACGCTCGTGACGAGAGAATGGCATTAGAGCTGGGTGGTGTTAAGTGCATTGGGACCGAATCAGCGTCTATATATCAGTCAGTGGCGTAGAATCGAATACTGCTCTCCTCCATCTCCATAAAATTCAGTATATCCTTATAAAGGCGGATATGTCTACGATTTCGCATATGTGAATGCGCATTTCTCTTCGCTGACATCGCATTTGTAACTTTAGATGCGAATACGATGATTTGATGAAAAAAAAATTTGTCAAATTGTTCGACATCTAAGATAATTTAAGTTTACACAGAATTTTGTTTGCAGAATTCCCCGATTCTAATCTAACGTATTTATCTAACGTATGTTAATAGATGCTTAGTGGTGTTAACAATTTATATTGTTATTTCGTCAAATTTTACGATCGTTAATATTTAATCATTCAATGTTATCACAATTAAAATTTAAAGCTTACATCTGCTAATTAGTATTGCATATTAGCAATACATTTTTCAATTTTTTACACATTTTCTTACAAATAAAAATAGTGTAATTTATCTATTATTAAATTCTTCTGTTTGTTCTTAAATTAATAGATCAAGTAAGTAGATACATGAATGAAATATATGTGTTATAAAATATAAGTAGATATAGGAATTAAATATATAAATAAAAATAAACACATTTAATGCACATAAAATATATTTATAATTTATATTCAAAATATCTAATATAATTAAAATATTATTACATAACATAAATTATAAGTCTTTGCATTAAACACACATTTTTCAATCAATCTGCATTATGTAGACTGTAGAGCATCAAACAATATAAATAAAAAGATATAAGAATGTTAACCTTCCGTCGAGCGCATCAATAAAAATTATAAATCCGAGCGCAAGTATCTTTTTAATTTGTTAAAATTATAATTTTCTTTAAAAACAAAAGGGATATAATAAAAAGAAACAATTAAAATTATATGTAACTTTATTTGCGATTTAGAAATATTATAAGTAGAGTAATATTGCAAAGTAGCTTGAGAAAACAAAGTCTACGTATATTCACTGTATATATAATATGCTCGATGAAAAGTTAAAGAAATGTCTTTAGCTTTTTATTTTTAATATAATATTTGATATAAAAAACATATTTTTGATATGCTTTTTAGATTTTTTTATGTGTCTTGAGAACCTCTTAATTTTCATCACAAAATATAGATTTTTCTTTATCGATATGTCTATATTATTTAATTTTAAAGTAAATGGTGACGTGCGGTGAAGGCAGCTATAGGCTTTTAGCCGCCCTTTTTCCGGCACCACCGTCTTCACCGCGCCGTGCACAAATCGTTTCTTGACACATCGATTTCACGGTGGAATTACGATGAAACCGCGACTAAAAGCCCGTGGATAATCCGCCGTTACGCGCCGATACGGTCCAGAAGAGGGAAAAAGCACGGGAGAGACTTGCCTACGCGCAAATCGCGCATTATCACGTATGTACACCCTCTGTCCCGCGCGCAGGTGCATCGCGAGCCTACACACATACGGCAGAACTTCCGTTAATTAACGCTGGCGGATGCTAATGACTTCTGTTACGAAATAACAACGCGCGAACGAGTGCTTTCGACGCGCGTGTCCGATACCGAAAAGCTGAGCAATCGATGAGTTCTTTATACATATCTGAATCAAGGATTCACATCGAAGTACGACCAGGAATATATCGTGCTCAGAAGCGCACAGACTTTCCAATTTGCATTTGTAATAAAGTCTACGTGTCCAATTTGTTAACTGGATCACACTCACAATCAGGGAAAAACATAGTAATAACAACTATATAGATAACTGTAGTTTTATATGTAGAATTAATCTTATATATATGTAGAAAAATGTACATGATCGAATAAACTAATGTATATAGTTAAATAAACTATTTTACTATAAAATATTTTATTCAAATATATACATCAATTTTATATATATACCTTGTCTATACATTGAGATGACAAATATTATAGTACAGTATAATTGTTTGTTTGTATAGTACAGTATAGTTGCCACCACTATGTCTTTCTCTAAATTTGCAATAATTCCATAAATAGATTAAAACAATTTTGATATAAAAAATCCATTCATTAGAAAAATGTGAAGAATGATCATTTGATGATAGCAATTATACACATAAATGATAAATATACATGTTTTATACGTAAAATTAACATATACAGTTGAATAAACAAATGTATATAGTTGAATATTTTCCATTTACAATAGAAATTATTAGAAATGCATGAAGAATACTTTCATGATGATAATAGATGACAACTACTATAAAAATTTTATATGTGAAACTAATGTACGCAGTTAATTAAACTAATGTATACAGTTGAACAAACTATTTTACAGCTGCAATAATTATAAAATAATTTATTCAACTATGTAGTATATACATCAATTTGATATATGAAACTTGTATATTTGTTATCTATGTGTATAGTTGCTCACTATGTCTTTTTCTCTGAGTGCGTAGTAATTTCGTAGATTAAAATAATTTCGACAATAAATACGAAACTATAAAAACTGTATTAGAAATACGAGGAGGAATTTTATTTTAAATAATTTCGGATAATAAAGCCAGCAGGAATGATGCTTAATGACAAAGAGTAACGATAGCCAAAAATACATGAGATCTTTATAATTGCAATCAATCTAATGTCCACGCTCCGAAATACATGACAGTTTCCTTTTGGAACTGATCGATCAGTATCGACACAGGTCCGTGCCCGAGAGCTTTATATATACCAAAACTCTTAATCAATGTGATTGAAACACTATAAAGATATGTTGAATGCACTTCATAATGACATTAATCAAACTTCAAATTTAGTGTTACTAAAAATACAATCGTTCTATCTTAACTTTTTTTAGTATCTATCAATTATAACGTAATGTATTATTCATGAATTTAATATTTACATATATATTATGTAATATCAGTATCACAAATATAAATTCGTGTATTTGAAGAACAATAAACGTTATTAACTTTTCTGAAATACCAAAATATAAAAAATAATAATTATATGCGCATAACAAATAACATTGAAAGAATGCGCAATATAAAATATATATAGATATTGGCATTGAATATTATTACTTTATTAATATGACAAAAAATATTATCGTTAGTTTTTATTTGTAAAATTTTTTGTTAATACGTGATAGAGTAATATTAATAATTTTAAAAAAGACAGAATTTACAATATTTCAGCAGAAAAATAGTTTGTTCTTTATAAAAAAATCGTGCTCGATTGAAAATAGCAGACATTTATTCTCGATCAATAAAAAATTGTTTCTTCTCGCAGTTATCATC